CAAACTCAAGAGCAAACTTAGAAATCTCCTCCTCAAACCTATAAGTCACCATACATATCTTGGCTTATCACACCAACAACAGAAGCAATACTACTCAACAATTGCTGCAAACTCTTCTACTACATCTGTTTATGCTACATACATCATGGCATATCATTTGGACACTCATTGAACAAGTTATTAAGAAAATCTCCTCCTTAAGGGGGTGGGCCAATACTACCACATGGCATATCTCTACCAACTAGAGGCCTAGGGACATGAACAATAGCTCTAGAAGCTTCTACAACCCTCTATGATGCATTACACGTCATCGCTCCTTAGTTACCCACAAGATTGGTTAAGTTATGACATAATTTGTCTATAGGGGTACTCTGACCTTGGACCTCCTATAGGCTAGGAACCTAGGAGATGGTTCTATGGGATTCTCTTACGTCGACTACATTTACCAAGCCTGGTTAAGTCATGGAAAGTCTTGGAAAATGAGAGAACTACACTCCTTTAGCATAAATAGGATTGCCCTTTCCTTAAGAAAGGGCAAGCAGACAATACAGTAAATCGACTATCACATACTTCCACGTCTTTTACAAGCTTCCAAGCATTAATCTTGTTATTCTTTGTTTCTGAAAAGTCAGTGAGGTGCTAACCTCTGACTTACCTCTGAGTTTTCAGACTCAACATTTGTTACAACTTGTCTAAACCACTTCACTACATACACCTGATTGCTGCATTGTGGAATAGTCTAAGCTACAACCCTTTGGCTCTGTTTCCTAAGCAGTGTGTTGTCTTAGTAAATATCATCCCCTTCCTTGGGTGGCTAGATTCTCACATCTGGTCCACCCACCATTACACAAAGAAACAGGCCAACAAATTTGATGGAAGCATCTACACCAGTCCAGGTTTGGGGCTGTTGTAATGGACATGGACTCAAAACAAATGTCTGGTATGAAACGCATATAACGTATTATGAATCTATTACTAATGCATTAAGGCCTTGGACGATATCTGTCAGATATGTCATACTGACATTCGTTGCACTCAGTTTGCTATCAAACTCAAGAGCAAACTTAGAAATCTCCTCCTCAACCCTACAAGTCAACATACATATCTTGGCTTATCACATCAACAACAGAAGCAATACTACTCAACGATTGCTGCAAACTCTTCTACTACATCTGTTTATGCTACATACATCACGGCATATTATTTGGACACTCATTGAACAAGTTATTAAGAAAATCTCCTCCTTAAGGGGGTGGGCCAATACTACCACATGGCATATCTCTACCAACTAGAGGCCTAGGAACATGAACGATAGCTCTAGAAGCTTCTACAACCCTCTATGATTCATTACACGTCATCAGTCCTTAGTTACCCACAAGATTGGTTAAGTTATGACATAATTTGTCTATAGGTACTCTGACCTTGGACCTCCTTTTCACTTCCTATAGGCTAGGAACCCAAGAGATGGTTCTATGGGATTCTCTTACATTCACTACATGATTAGCAAGCTAGTTGTGGGTCGCACTTGATTTCTAATACATTTACCAAGCCTGGTTAGTCATGGAAAGTCATGGAAAATGAGAGAACTACACTCCTTTGGCATAAATAGGATTGCCCTTTCCTTAAGAAAGGGCAAGCAGACAATACAGTAAATCGACTATCACATACTTCCACGTCTTTTCCAAGCTTCCAAGCATTGATCTTGTTACTCCTTGTTTCTGAAAAGTCAGTGAGGTGTTAACCCCTGACTTACCCCTGAGTTCCCAGACTCAACATTTGTTGCAACTTGTCTGAACCACTTCACTACATCACACACCTGATTGCTGCGTTGTGGAATAGTCTAAGCTATGACCCTTTGGCTCTTTTTCCTAAGACAGTGTGTTGTCTTAGTAAAATCATCCCTTCCTTGGGTGGCTAGATTCTCACATCTGGTGCACCCACCATTACAAGATATTGATGACCACCATTTCCCTTGGCAATGGCATGTACAACATGTTATTATATATTGTACAATCCATTTTAAGAGAGGCATTTTAAAAGCTGTAGGAACAGCCTTTTCTGGCAACTTTTTACGGCAGCGCAATTATTATATGTGTCAACCCAAGCAGAATATTTTAAACTCTGCAATTTAATTATAAGTAAGTATATAACGTGCATGTATAACGAAAGTGCCAAACAAGCGAAAGTGCCAAAATATCGCGACTACCCCATAAGAATTGCGATAAATCCACCACAACAATATAAATTAATTAAAACTACTCGGAGTCCTCTTCCTCAGACCTGTCTATTACAATCTGACAAGTGCGCGCATTGTGTCCAGTCTCACCACACTTGCCACAGCGACGTGCATGGGTTTCTTCCCTTGGCTTCCGACCACTACTTGCCCTTATTTCTTGCTCTACTTGCTGCACAACGTCCCTCTCGTCCTGTAGCTCCTGTGCTACCTGTTGACTAAGTGATCCTCCTTGCTGTAGTCGTGTTTTTTTAGCTCTCCGGCGCTTGCTTAGCACTTCATTTGCCTGTCGCAGGTTTTGGTTCTCTGCTTTTAACAATGCTAATTGATGCATTATTTGCAATGCACCCTTTGTAAACTGGTCAACAGCTGCATAGATTGAGGTTGGAGAGCTATTTTGATGATGCGCAATTCGGTTTTTAATGAAAGTAGACTGTGATACAGCTTCAGTTGGGTTATTTGGTGTCTGAGAAACCCATGGTTGAGCGGTGTTTGGGCGAGAGGTTGGAGGTGTTGGCGTCTTAAACCTAAGGTCAAGTGTAGATATTACACTCTTAGGGCTAAATGGAAGAAGCCCAGCACCTCGGAACCCTCCCTGAATATTGCTTTCTGTCATTGCAATGTTAAATGCAGCGTGGAAGGCAGGAAAGAAGTCATCCTTAGTAATGTGAATAATATGAGCCCGCATCATATCTTCAATTTGCCGACCATAAGCTCTCTTTAATGGGCCAAAACAGCCAACATCAAGTGGTTGGAGTATATGGGAAGAGTGAGCAGGCATACAAAGCGTAATAATGTTGTGTTCTTTGCAGTACTCCTCAAACTTGTCTGAGTGGTGGCTCTCATGACCATCAAGGACTAACAAGCGATAACCACCAACACTCCGGGGCTTTGTGTGCTTCTCAAAATGCTGAATCCAATCCATACCTCTCTCGTTTGTAGTCCAGCCATTTGCAGTAACAGCGATTACCCAATCTGCTGGAAATCCGCTATTCTCATACCAAGATGCAAGGTGGTTTTTACCTGCCACAATGACAAATGGCGGCACTGCCCAACCTTGAGAACTAACGCCTTGGATTACTGTAACCCATTCCCGATTGCCAGGCTGCACCTTTTTTGCCTTTGCCCGCCCATCTGAGCTCGTTACTACCGTTGCGCTTGAGATGACGCCCATCATAAACCCAGTCTCATCAAAGTTGTAGATATCTGCATTGTTGATGCCATACTTTAGAATTGTGTTCCATACAAGCTCAAACCAGCCACGAATGACTTCTGGATCTTCGCACTTAGCCCTCTGGTAGTCGTATTTTCGCTGGAAGCGTGTCCGGAGCTCTACATGGCGCTTAACAAAGTTTGAAGCCCAACGTGACCCGACGCGTGGCGCGTCGCGTGTTGCAAGTAGTCGATTTGCCATATCTTCAACAATAGACAACTGAGGAGGGAACCCTTTAGCAGCTAAGTCAAGTATATACTGAACAAGAACTGATTCCTCTAGGTTACTTAATTTCCGTAAGTTGGCTTGGATATCGCGTCGTGAAGGTACGCCTTGTAAACGGTGACGTAGCTTGCGGTGGTCTACGGAATAGATCCTAGCTGCAACTCGAAGGCGCAAATTTGGGTCGCTTTGCATAGCTTGGATAGCTAGCACTAATTTGCTTTCATCATTTTTATGGCGCATGTTTTGTTGTGGAGGAATTTAACATTTAGTTGGGGGGGTTGGTCACCGCATGATTTTGGCACTTTCACTTGTTTGGCACTTTCGTTATACATGCACGTTAAATGTATTTGTAATATATTGCTAATATATTACCTAGATAGCATAGATTCCACAGAGCAGATTTGATTCTGGGCACTACATAAGAAGCAGCTTTGTATTTCTTCTGGGTTAAATGCTTCTTGTTCATTAATGGATAATGAATTGTTTTTCCAGACTCGTCGACATACAAATGCTGTTGAGCAAACACATTGGAAAAGCACATCACTTGGAAAGCAATTGTCAATATTGAAGGCAATTCAAATGTAAGTGTTAGGGTAATATATTAGCAATTAATCTATTATAGGGGCCAAATACTTGATGAGACAGACCTAAAGCAATATTTAGGGAAGGTTACTCATGGTATAAACCACTCTTGGCGTTCAAATAGCTTATCATCTCGATTTACACTTCAAGAATATCGACACCGTATGATTGATGTTCTCTCCCTACCTAATACATTACTAATGCATTTAGGTCGAAAACGACAACACCATGAGACTGATCATAATGATGGTATAAGTATTATTTCAAGTGTCTCATCTTCTGGCTCACGGTCACAATCAAGATCAAGGTCACGATCACAAAGGTATGTAATCTACATTAATGCATTAGGAATGTATTGTTAATGTATTATAGAGGGGGAACCCTTCGGCGCGTTGCGTCAATTACTTCTGCCTCACAAGCTCAAGAGATTTCAATTGAGCGATCACGACTTGAACTTCAAGCTGAAACAGCACGGGTACGCCGAATGGAACTTGAGAAGGAGAAACTTGAGTTGGAATTGATAACTCTCCGCGAAGCTGCTCGAAGTAGAGCTGATCTATAATACATTACGAATGGATTGTAAATGCATTGCATATCCATTCTCCATTCCTCCTATAATCCCATTGATAACCCTTCGCGAAGCTACTTGAAGTAGAGCTGATCATCCTATAATACATTCCTAATGCATTCCAAATACATTAGGAAACCATTTACTGGCTTTCCTCGTCATCTTCATCCTCGTCATCCTCATCTTCGTTCCTCGTCATCCTTATTCTCATCATCTGGGATAGTCTGTGCAGCAGAAAGAGGGCTAGAAACTATCTCCTCTTCCTCCTCCGTCTCGTCATCTGTCAAGTAATTCCACACATCACAGGCATTGGTTGGCTTGGTAGGTGGACAGGCTATAATGCATTAGTAATGTATGGCAAGCTTTGCCTTGTGGGAACCCGTGAGGTGGGCTCTCAAATTCCCGGTGTGGCTGCAACGGTGCTGTAATACATTAGCAATGTATTAATAATGTATTAGAAGACTTCACTCACCTTGGCCTCACATAGTCGGAATTGAGGATCGTCCATCAGCTCAGCATCATATCTCTCTTGTTCTGTCACGACGTCCTTGCGACAAAAGAGTTCTCAGAACCGACAATAAGGAGCCCATCATCCTAATGCATTATGGATGCATTAGTATGTATTAATACCAGGTGAAGTTGAAAGGTCGGAAGTTGTGGAGGATTTATTTGTGGGGGGGTCAGCCGAGGTTTTGGCGGGTGTGGGGGTGGGTGGGTCGACTGAGGTTGGGGGAATGGTGTTGGCCATCGATTTATACCTCGTCTCATCGAAGGTTAGACTATGATATACTACGCAGCGCATGGAAAAGGCGAACTGAGATTTTATTGAATAGAGCAGGGAAAGAACGAATCGAGATAGCGGAGCAAAATATACGCGCACGCCACTGGAAAAAATAAGTTCAGAGTCCAATATCGAAATGACCCCGCCAACAACGACACCAGACCAGGTCAAAGACCCCCGCCGCATCCTCCTTCTCGCCCCCTCTAACGCAGCCGCCAGCACATTCCTCAAAGGTCCTCGGTTCCCTTCCCTCAGAAATACCGAACTAACAACCCGCAGACCTAACAGGCACCCCCGCACCACCCCCCAGCGCAGAAACGGGGAGCCTCGCAGGTTCATCCCACGTGCTCAGCCTCCAGACCACATATTACGCAGCAGACGTCCATATATGGATTGACATCATCAATCCTGATGGGATCAAGGGGTGGGCGGACGCGTTTTGTGAGGAAGAGGCGGCAGAGGTCCTTGCCGCGGTTGGAGGGTACGTAGTTCTCCTTAACCGTGGGAAAGGAAGGGCAGGATGGGATGAGTTAGAGAGGGTATTGAGGGAAGTAGATAGGGTGGTCAGTGTTTCTGAAGGGAACGAGTGGGAGGTTGTTCGTCTCGGTGTTCTCCTTGGTGCCACCGCTGGGGAAGACGACGAGGGCTGGGTTGAAGGCTGGGAAGTCGTTGATGGAGCTGCAACGGGGAAGAATGAGTTTGGCGAGGTCGTTGGGGTGGAGAGGGTCAGAGAGGCACTGGAGGCTAATGAATGGGTTGGTGGAGACGGAAGGCTGGAGGAATTGGAGGAGCTGGGCTTTGGAGGGGATGTAGGGGGGGGCTTTGAGATTGGAGAGGAGGACGTGGAGGGGATGACGAGGCCGATTTTTGGGAAGGATGAGGGGGAGGAGGAGGAGAGTGTTGAGGGGATGGAGGCGTTGATGTTGAAGATGCAGGCGATGCGAGGTGAGGTTTTGTGCGGGGTCGTTGGGATACGTGGATGCTGGCTAACACGGAGTGTAGATTTAGGTGCTGATATGCCGGAAGCGGAGAGGAAGAAGTTTGCTGCTAAGGCTGTTAGGGATTTAATGAAGACGTTATGATGCATAATTCTGTTTTGCTGATTTCCGAGAACTTTGATCGTCTTATTCTTGGAATGGCAGGGCTATGAACTCGGAACCTTGCCAGTACTGAAGGGAGGGAAGGAACGATGCTGTCCAAAAACTGAAAAGGCGGAAAGGAACGATGCTGCCCAAAAACCGAAAAGAGGGGAAGGAACGACCCAGCCTTCAAAATAATAACATGGGAAGGTGCATCGATTGCTCCTTTCTTGACAAGCGTTCTTTCCCCTACCCAACACATGTCCACACACACATACCAGTGGCAAGATGCCGCGCTCATGCTTTCGCCAACCGCTCAGCGATGGCGTGGAAGGAGCTGATGCAGTCATGCAATATATGAGTCTTCAAGCAAACGCAGCGCTACTCGCGCCTTTCATTTCCATTATAATATACAGTAAGCCATCATCTATTCATACTTAACTATCCCACATCCATTTTTAACCCTTCGCCTCAAATCTCCCCCTCCCTCCTCCACCTTACTGGGTCTTCTTCTCCACAGCCTTTCCCCTCATAGCCTTCCGCCTCTGCTTCATCATGTACGAATACAGCACGTAGGTGCCCGGGACATAAATCGCCAGCATCGCGTAGTAGAAATATCCCCACAGCTCCGATACCTCGTTCGCGTACGGGATCGCAAGGTACATAAGCCAGCACTCACTCGCAATGCCGAGCGGGTACAGCACAATAAACGTATTATACCTCAACCACCCCAGGAACTCAATCGTCTCCCCGCTGAGCGCCATCGCAAAGTATCCGTAGCGAATCACCTCCGTGACACCATGCGCAACTAGCAGACTGATGAACACCGGGCTCTTCGCGACCTGCGGGAACGGAGTGACAGTCCCCCAAACGACCAGGAAACGCGACGCAACCTGCATCAGTGTCGTCATGAAAGGCGAGCGCACAATTCCTATCCAGCTTGTCAGCTCAACAAATCCACATTACCCCATCACCACACGCGACCTGACGCCCACACACACACACACACAGGACAGGGGAGACCCACCGAAAGCAGAGTGCACAATCTCAAGCACGGCGAGCGACTGCGTGACCTTCCAGAAGATATCGACTTGCGGGTGCACGTACTCGAGGCCCCAGACCTTGAGGGTCAGCCCGGCGTGCCAGAGGAGCGAGAGCCATGAGAACATGGACACAGCATTGTAGCCGAGGAGGTAGTTCGCTTTCAGAGAGTTGGACGCCGGGCGCGGCGCGGCTGCGGAGGAGGATGTAGCGGCGTCAGGCATTTTGGATTTGGTCGTGTGTGAAGTGGAGGGGAGGAAATGAGGAGGGTGAGTGAGTGAGGTAGCTCAGAAATTGTTAGAAATATTGCCAAGAGTTCGTTAGGGAAGGTGAGGGTTGGGCGGTAGGTCGGGGCAGAACAATTGTTGAGCACCTACAGGAGCATGGGCTCGCTGAAGCGTGTGCTCTGTAGGAAGCTTTTTTCTTCATTTCTCAGGAAATATTAATATTATATTAGAATTATATTCACAATATTTATCTTGTTAATTCCTAGCACTGCACGTAACTATAACAAAGTACCTGACTGAGTACGTACGTCCTACCTACGCCATCTCTCGAGTAAGAAGTAGAGACTCTCATACCCCCTTAATCTGGCAAAGAAATAAAAATCAAAGCTCACTAATCTCCAGCAACAGCAGCGACACTAGTCGCTTCCATCCGTCATCTAACGCTTCGACCTGCGTGCCTTCCGCTTCTTGCTACAAGTCTTCCGGTTTGCCTTCCGCTCCTTCAATACGTCCCTCCGAGCTTTAGTCTCCTTCTTCTTCTCCGCAATGCGCGCCTTGAACACAACCTTTCGTGCCTCCGTCTCCTTCTTCATCCTCTCCTTGTGCTCCTTCAGCGAATCCCTCAATGGCTCGACCTTGTCTTTCGGCTTCTCCTTCTCCTTCACTTCTTCCTTCGTCACCCTACGTCCCAACCACCCACAGGTACTCTGAGAGCACTTCCCAGTAGAAACCCCCGCCTCGCTGGCCTTTCGCTGGTATTCTTTCGCCTCGTCAACTCGCCCTGTCAAGCGCAGCCACTGCGCCCGGCTATCCACCTGTGCCTTCAGCAGCGCAGCTCCAAGCGGCTCGCGCACACGATCTGCAAGCTCTAGCCCAGTGGTTATAGCTTGCGTTGCTAGTTCACGTCCCGCCTCCGCAGCTCTCGCACCTTGTACCTCGGCCTGTTGGCGGCCAATGTGGGCGACGAACTGAGTGTGGAGGACGGCTTGGTTGCGCCACTCATCGATACGCGTGAGTGTCTCGTCAAGGTTGAAGTCTCTAGGGAGAACGTCGTCATAGACGCGCTGGCAAAGCTTGTCCAGGGTCTCGTGGAACCCACGGGTCCACGATGATCCTAGATCAATGTGGAACGTCTTGTTAACCTTGGGGTGCTTGGTTGTGACGACTGCGATCCGGAGATTGCCGTGGGCCTCGTGGTGAGCAAAATGGAGGACAATACCGTAGTGTGAGCTGTATACGCGCTCTATATCGACGGTTTCGTTGTTGCGTGTGACGTTGACAAGCATGGCCTCCTTTGCGAGCCAACTCAGCTTCGTGGCAGATGGGATGCGTATGAGGACTTCCTGATCACCGAGGCGTTCAGCAGTGCATACCATCTTCTGGCCATCGTAGGGTTCAGCGACGGCACCAACATCCTTAGATTGGACAAGGGATATGCTTGTTGAGCTGGAGAGAACCTCCACCACATCAATCATCTTGGTAATGGTCTTCGTCTGAACTCGAGACGTATATGATGCGCCACCGCCAATTACTGCCGATTCCGTGGTGGTCATGGAGGTAATGACGGTAACTGGCGACGGATGTGTTGGAGTCAGATTCCCATTGATCGACACTAGATTTGCAGGTATCGGTTTGAAGCTGTAGAAGTTCGCAAAAATGGATGCCAGAATTCCGGTAATCAATAAGCCCACGGGTACCAGATCTCTCCATCCAAGTCCCGTCAGAAACTTGGAGACATTTCGTGAGTTGGTGGCCTTTACGCTGGTGAGTCCTTTGACTGCGGGACTAGTCTTGGGGGCCTGGCGGACTTTGGATCTAGAGGTGCTAGCGGCTTCAGACGTCTCTCCTTGCTCCGTCATAGCCCGGAATGTGATATAAGCCAGGTTCTTGTTCATCTGGCGAGCATCAATACTCATGAAAGACGCCAAATCAATTGGCAGTCTGAGATGGACAGTTCCCCTCGGCATGCTTGATGAGAACATGGCTTCCAGTGACAAGTGAATGGGGTGATGACCAAGTGGGATTTCCCACTCGAGTGGCTTCTCAAGCATTGGCTTGTGCGTGATGAAAATCCGTGCAATGTTGTGCCTACTGGTAAACTCGCTAGCAGCAATCCGCGTTTCGCGCATTTCCTCCGTATCGTTCTCGGAGCAGTAGAAGATCGAGAGGTGAGGCAGTTCCCATTTTGGCTGAACATGGAATTCCCCGTTTTGAGGCATAGAGCGGTAGGTGTTTTTATTAAGCGTCAGCTCCAGAATACCTTCCTTACCTTGCGAACTTTCAGCACCAAAGTTAACTGCTTTCAAGCATTCCTCAACCTGGAAGTTCCAGCCAGACGAAGGCATCAACTCGATTTCTGGTGCATGGTGCGATCCAAAGTCGCTCACCGGGATGACATTATAAAATGTCGCTGAGGAGCTGTTTGATAGTGGATCGTTGTCCATGTAGGCGGCAACAGCACTTCCAATCTTGCGAATAATATCATGCATCGCGCCACGGCTGCCTACATACAAGATCCTCAAGGGCACAACAGTTGTCAATATTCGCGTGCTCATCATAGTCTGGCCGAGACTAGCTGATATCCGGTCTGGCATCCGGTTGCCACGGAGTTTCAAGTACGGAGTTATCGCTTTAATCTCATCCTCGGAGAGATCTTTCATAGGAAGGCTGGCGATTATCGGACCACGGTGGGCCTGTGGCTCCTCAAATAGGATCGGCTGGTCTGAAGTTCCGGTGGTAGTCTGGAGGAAGCTCTCTGCACTTTGGCCGATTTCTTGCGCATCTGCTTCCTCGTTATTTCTATCAAGACCGGGTATACCACCTGTGGCATGGCTCTTCTCGGATTCCGTGTCATCGAAACTGTTCTCTGTGTCGGCAAGGCTCGTAACATCGTCTGGGCGACAGTAATCAGCTGAGGCTACAGATTCAGTTGCGTTCCCATCTCTGCTCTCGATATCGTCGTCGACAAACTCGTATGTAGAATCTGTGAGACTGCCTGCGTCTGCCTCTCGTGGCGGGGTATTGGTAGCCATGTCTTCGGCCGAGTCGGGATGGTCCTCAAGCCAGTTGGCTATTCTTTCATCGACTCCCTCAGGAACCACGCCGTCGGGAACTGGATAACCAAGTTGTGAGTATATGGGCCTGTGTGAAGTGTTTGTTGTGTGATTCGAACCTGGATCGGCACTGGATAGTGGCATGACGTTAGCCGTGCTGTCTGATGACGCCTGAGTAATAACGAGAAACGAGCGACGAGAAGCGACGACCAGAGGGTTTTTCTATCAACAAGCTAGTGAAGGAAGGACCTACACGGATGACCTGACTACTAGATTTTATGAGCTCAGGTTGTTTGGGTCGATTTCGAACTATCAGGTCCGGTCCAGCGCAGCACCAAGTGGGTTGAAACTAGCCAACGATGTCGACTTTGACAGGCTGACCTACCAGCGAATAGAGTTTCGGCGGAGTTATAGCTCCTTTGTAGTTGACCAAATTTCGTTAAATAGGCAGTTCCTGCTCTCTTCACATATCAAACTGTACGGGATAAATACTTGAACTGGATATAACACGTTGTATGTTTCGTGGTCTATTGGTGACGCGGACGAGGATAACTTGGTGGAGGAGGGATGCCTGGCTGGTTAAGGTGGGGTAACCAACCGTGTGCCGATAACGATAACGCCAAGGGTGAAGTCGCTGTCAGTTGGGTACGATTACTGGTGCGCAAGGGTCCGTGCACCTGGACTACAACTGCAACTATAACTATAGCTAGCTTGTTGAGTTGAATGACTTTGATATCATAATTATTGTTCTAAAGTTTATTTTATTTTCATTTATTGTTGTGGTGAACGTTTAGAGCGGCGACGTGGGTTTCCAGCTGGTTGTTATTCAGCAGACGGACTGACGGTCGGCCACACACCCATTTATCAAAACTGGCATGAATTCAACCCATCCACCCAAAAATGGAGCTGTATAGATGCAACATCCTGCCGCCACTCACCTCCTACTTCCCAGGCCACTGGCCATGACACAAACCTCGTCCTCGCGACGTGGAACATAGATGCTGGCGAATCCCTCCCTCAAACCCGCACCTCGGCCATTCTATCTCACCTCGGCAACCTCGCCCCAGCACCTGACATAATCTTCCTGCAAGAAGTCTAGTGGCCATCGTTGGGATTACTCCTGGGCGACGAGAGGATCCGCGAGGCTTGGTTTTCAAGCGAGATGGACTCGAAAAACTGGGGCGGGCAACTATTCGCAACGACGACTCTGCTTTCCAAAGAGCGGTTCTCCCGGAGAGTGAGGATAGGGCCCCGTGGAGAGTAAGTTCCAGAGTAAGTTTGGAAGAGATGCGTTGTGTTGTGATATTTTCCTCCCAAATCCGGGATCAGCTTCTGAAGAAGAAGAGGACGAGAAGCACGTTCGAGTGGTTAACATGCATCTTGACTCCCTGGCGGCCGTACCTTCTTGTCGCCCACATCAACTCGCTACTGTGGCGTCTAGTCTCCGCGGTGCAGAGCGCGGACTGTCGCGGGAGACTTTAACCCTGTGTTACCGGACGATAAAACGTTGGTTGAGGAGAATGGGCTTGTCGATGCGTGACAGGAGCTGAGAAAGGGAGAGGATGGATCCACGTGGGGCATAATCGTCGGTGTTCGCACCGACCACCTTACAGGTGGTCGGCGAAAGCGAAGTGCATCCGGAAAGCGAAATTGCATCCAGCCAGCCAGGTATCATTAGTATGTAGAATCTAATATAACCACTATCTAAACAACTTATACAACCAATTAAGTGATTAAATTATTAAATAAAATTGACGCTATTCTCACTTTAAAACAACCCTGAATCCAAATTCTCTTCTGTCCTGTCTGTAAATATGTCCTCATCCAAACCACTAAACCTTATAAATCCAGTCTCATCGTCGTCGCCTACCTGTGATCCCGACCACCCCATTGTTGAAATCAATTGAATATTGGCTTCTTCTTGAATCTCTGACTCCTGCGCAATTTTTTCAGGATCAGGAATTGGATTAAGTAAATCAGGAGGCACCTCCTGCTTTGGTTTTAACAACTAGGTAACCTGCCGCTTTCTTGAAAGCTCGGCTTTGCGGGCCTCAACACCACAAATATAAAGCTCCTTTTTGACCTTATTCAAGGCTATTCGTGCTCTGAATATGACTTCTGCTCTTGAGTTTTCTTCTCCTTTTTAGCCTTGTCAGCTATTTTTTTTCCAAGCATCTTTAGCTGCTAATGGACCGCACGTTGCTTGAACAACATTGCGGCTTTTGACCTTTGCCTTTTGCTGGTTCGCAACCTTTGTAGATAGTAAATCATACTGTAGAACAGCTAACTCTCCTTGAGCAAGGACGTTTTTAGTACCGTGCGCCCAAGAATCCCATTCTCGTGTCGATGGACTTGACAAAAGGTATGGTATCTTTGCCTGCCAATGCTGTAATTTGAGCTCTGAATGTACAAATTTTGTCGGAGTCTATGGAATTTTCGGTAGGTCTAGAGCCTTTTCAGACAGTGTATATACCTTCATTTTTTCCAAGGCTTCTTTACGGTTTATTAGCCACGTTCCAGCTTCACGAAATGCTCCTATAATTGTGCCTTTCTTGAATGTTTCCTAGCGGATTTTGCCCAAGTCTCGAAAAAAATAAAGCAATATTGTAATCAATATCAAGATTTCGCATTGCTTTTTGAATTGCCTTCTTGTGCCAGTGTTTGTAAGACTGAAAAACACCAACATCAAGCGGCTGCATAATATGTGTAAGATGTGACGGGAGCGGATATGGATGAATATTCATCGCTGTTGCTCGTATGACAAACTCGGGTATCGTATGACTGATATGGCTATCCATAAGAAGGACTTTTAATGGTTTATTAGGCCTAGCATCAGAATGTTTAATGAAATTCTCTAAATAAAGCATTGCTAGTTCGCCATTTGTATATCCAGAATCAGAGAGCAATATAAGCTCGTCGCCGCTTAGCTTTTCATGATACCAGGACTCTATATGTTGTCGTCCTTGTATAATAATCACTAGTGGAATCACTTGTCCAATTGCACAGATTGACTCGATTATAGTAATAGACCTGCGATTTTCGGCCATTAGAACATAAAAGAAAATTGCAATTATAAAACCTTGTGCTTCCTCAGCACATTCTTCAAAGCTTGGGTATCAAAGTTCGTATCCTCGGGTATCTGGTCGATGATGTATGTGAGATTCGCAAACAGCTCTCCCTGCTGCTTATACGCCAGCATGGCCGGCACTCCTGCATTATCAAACTCTATGTCGTCGTAGTGCACCTTGACGAAGTGGATTTCGGGATGTGTCGCGACGAGCGGGGTAAGAGCTTCTTCGATAACCTGCGAGACAGCGCACTGCGAAAGGGGTCAGCATGTGCTTGTAAACGCGAGAGGAAAAGCGAATGAAGAAGGGCGGCACATACCTCGATATCATACACAAAAACCACCACTACCGTCTCCCATCCCACCTTCTCAATCGCATCCAGATACCCCAGCGCATCAACCTCATCAAACCGTCCAAACCTCCTCACACTAGGACTCGTCCGCCTATTCCTAATATCACTCCCATCGCGCTCCAACTCCCTCCTCCTCTCCTCCCTCCACTTCTCCAAAAACTCCTCATCCTCCTCCAGCGCCTCCTCCCCCCCCGCCCCTTCCACCCTCCCCAACCCCTCCCTCCTCGCCTGCTCAAAACTCCTCGCATCAGCAATAACCCCCTTCACCCCCGTCGTCCTCCCACTATCAAAGCTAGGCGGGGGCAAGTTCAGCCTCCCCCCCCTTCCCCCACTCGGCGCCCGCATCGCCTCCTCCATCTGCTGCTCGCGGTGCCGCGCCTCCTCGTCCGCCTCATCGATCTCGTCGGCGCCGCCATTCGCGTCCTCGGGGTGGCGGTCGGACGGCGCCCCGCCGAACCAGGCTTTGTCAAGCATGGCCTGGAACTCCTCTTGTGCGGGGGTCTGTGCTGTCATCTTAAGCTGTGCTGCGGTGAGCCGAGACTGCCTATGCGCCCGGCGTCGTTGAACTCCGGAGTGCGGGGGTGGAGTCGGACGAGGTGCGCTGCGGTCGAGGGAATGGCGTGGTTTGTGTGCGTGAGGAGGTGTGTGGCTCTGTTGGATCACAGATATGGGAATTGTTTTTATCTTATTTCACTTTTCGTGTTTGGAGAGGTTGTGCCTTATAGAGTTGGGGGGATGTGAGGTGACCTTCTGCCGACTTTTGTGAAACCGCGCTGTAGCCCGCATCGTCCAAGATTGGCGATCTTAGACGATGCGGGCCACAGCGCGCCTCGTCTCATCTTTCACCAGCACCCCCTGAAACTGACAAGATCTCTCCCTGACGGTTGGTAGTGGATAAATAGGGACGCCTGCGTCACGTCGTGTCTCTCCTTCGCTGCGCGCCCTCGTGCTACATTCAGTCAGTTCTCAGGCTGATACTGCTAGGATCGTGTTTATTGTGGGCTACATATTATTTGTTTTTGTGGTCTTTTGGGTGCGGCCCGAAAATATAAATTCTGGACGCAAGGGGAGGGGGGCTATAGAAATACAAATACAAAACGCCACGACGCCCTGTTTAGAATATAGGATGGAAAGATCTCTTTATGTTTGAAGAGACCTTGTCAGTTTCAGGGGGTGCTGATGAAACATGAGACGAGGCACGGCTGTCCCCGAAGATACGACAAATAAACTTTCATTTAGAGTTGACTCTGGGTGGGCACTGTAGTATGTGGGTAGCCATTTCCAGCCTCTCCAAAATGCCGAGGGATGTCAACTATGGTGAGAGTTATCCGTAATAAACACTAATTCCGCGCATATTCTTCTTCTGGTTCGTCGGGAAACCTCCGCTTGTTCTTTTGAGACATTCGCGTTCTAGAGCTGCCAGGATTGGAAGTGTCGCGCTGGATCAAAGTGTAGTATTTTTCATGTGGTGCTGTTTCTAGCCATCTCTTACGCCGATCCTACTCCTGTAATTACTCACAACGGCAATAGGTATGTCAGCCACTCATCACATTAAGGGGAACATCTATCTTGTGGAATACTGGTCAAACATTCGCTACGAAATGGTCGTAAGACAATAAGAATATGAAGCTTTCCTTCACAATCATGCGTGACACGTAAGAGTTATCGTGGTTCCCATTTTCTCTAATACTAGAACACTCCTCCGCCCTCCACCTCCCACTAAGCAAAGGAAAGCCTCCACAAGAAATCGTGCGCTCTGAAGTGTTTTTTTACAAGCAATTTCGCACCACATCCAACGACATATGAAAAAATGGCTAGAGCCTCAAAGCCAAATGACGTTGTGACCGAGAAACACCTGACACCCGAAAGGCACCAAGCTTCGGCCCTCAAGGGGTTGCCATCCACTGCAGTACTGCCTGCGTCTTCTCCCCCCTCCTCCATAATAGACTAGACAAAATCGAAGATCGTAGAGGCGACTCCATGGCGGTCGGTGGACTGGCGAATTATTCTTTGCAAACCCAGCAAAATGGAGGGCAGAGAGCGCAGCTCGACTTAGCCACCCATACAAACAAAAAAAGTTGAACAAAATAAGGGAATTATGATGCAAGAATAAAAAGTGCGTAAAACTGCAGACCGTCTCAGCCAGATCTTGGTGGCTCGCTGCGTCTTTTAAAGCTCTCCTTCGCTAAAATGGGAGAGCTATCCGGATATCATTGCTCGAGTACGCCGCGAGAAGGTGATGGAAATGGTGGTGTTCGTAGATGTGACTATTTCAAGGGAAGTTTGATTGATATCGTTGACGGAAATTCATGACATGGCTCTCGCCATAAATTTAGGGAGACAGATGAATCTCGATGTTGAATTTGTAGCATCCATTAGATTGCCCAGACTTTGAGCTGTTGGATTTGGTCAGTACTTGATCAACGATAAAGCGGCTCATAATTCTTACCAGAGAGTCCCATGAACCTGTGCACAAGCTCATGCCATCGTTGCTAACACCCAGACAGCTGACACGGTTGCCGTGGCCAACCAATGCGCCAACCTTCTCCCCGCGAGTAATATCCCAGACCTGAAAATAGTATTAGCACCTATCCAAATAGCACGCGCTGAATTACCCACCTTGCACTCAAAATCGTCATAACCAGCAAATAGCAACCTTCCGGATACAGATGTCGCCACGGAAGTAATTCCGCAAAGAATAGCATCAGACTAAATAAATGTCAGTAAAAGTTAGTCGCAGTCAAGAGCGGCTCAACTTACCCCGTATTGGTTGAGCTCTCTGTCCGCGCGAATGTCGAATAAACGGCAGGTAGCGTCGTCGGACCCAGTAACGAAAGAATGTCCATCCGGGAAGAACTGGATTGCGTTGATGTCGGATTCGTGGCCCGCAAAGGTTTGTACGGCCTTTCCTGCTCGGATATCCCAAAGCTTGGCGAAAGCGTCGCATGCGCCGGAAATGAAAGTATTCTGGTTGGTGGGGTTGATGCTGATGCTCATGACATCTCCTAAGTGATCCGCGAATTCCGTAACCTTTGTTCCAGTCTCGACATCCCATTTCATGCAAGTCATGTCACCGGACGAAGTGAGGATACTGCGGTCGTTGATGAAGCGACAGCAGGAGAGGTATCCGGAGTGGCCCGATAATTCCCTCGCAACCCTAGTAGGTCCTTCTCTGTTGGAGTTAAGGTTGTAGATTGAGCAGATGTTGTCCAATCCACCGCAGGCGACAAAGTTACCGCTCGGCGCGTATGCGCAGGTCATGACCCACGACGATCGGAGTGGTATGGCATGGACTTTGTTTGTGCTGTATGCGTCCCAGATGATGAGCTTCCCGTCTTGAGAGGCTGATACGAGATGCCTCCTATCCGTCGACCAGTGCATCGCGTAGATCTTGGCAAGATGGCCCTTCAGCGTCTTCCTAGCCTTCATCATGTGGTTCCTCGGAATCGGCTCCTGTTGTTGTTGAGCCACTGCTCGGACTGCAGTATCGGCGTTAGCGGCAATTCGAATCGCGATTCTAGCTTGGCTAAGCAGTCTCATGGGGATGTGGACAACTCACGGGTAGTGTCTGCTAACTCATCCTTCTTTCGCTTTATTCTATCCTTCAATGTCTCTGCCTCGCGACGAGCCTGCTGGATGCGCGATTGCATGGCCTCTGGGGAGACCTCGTTCGACATGGTGTTGGGGTTGTTGTTGGTGGATCAGGAGCTCTGTTCGGGTTCGGATGTTTTTTGGGGGGGGGGGGGGAGGAATAATGAGCTCGTGTTTGGAGCGCAGAATGGACGGGCGGGGAGCGAATGAGGAGGTCTGACGACAATTCAGCCTGTTGCCGATATAGAGGACGTATACGGAGTACACTCGATTGGAGATCGACGAGGGGCACGACGGGTTGTGGTCAATTGAACAGGTCGTTGAGGGAGTGAGTGGGAAGGGGGGAGGTTCAGTTCAGAGTAGAGAATGAGGACCCTGTGGCAGCAGTGAGTAGGTGAGGGTAAGTAGGGTAAGTAGGGTAAGTAGTGTCAGTAGTGTCAGTAGTGTCGGTATTGTCAGTAGTGTCAGTATTGTCAGTATTGTCGGTAGTGTCAGTAGTGTCAGTAGTGTCAGTAGTGGTAGATGAGTGACTTTGGACGGGCGAAATCAACTAAAGGTGGAGAGTGGATAGTGGATGGTGGAGAGTGGATAGTGGATGGTGGATGGTGGACGGTGGATGGTGGACGAACGGGGGGGGCTGACCAAGTTGGATTAAAAACGAAAAACAATAGTTCAATCCGCACTACGGCATCTGCGGTTGCTCCAATGCTGCAGGATGGCTCTAGGGATGCGCTCCAATCTTTCTCCATCCAGCCTCGGAGACGGGCCTTTCTCGCCTTTTTTGCTGGTGTGCGTGTTATGGGAGTGCTATGGACGGACGGTAACTAGTTATGCTCTGTAGGGTATGGAAGGGAATGGAAGTAAAACTTGCATACAATACATCCGCTATATGCACAAAATTGGTTTTGTTGGTATGACACTACTTTCCGAACTACATCTGAGCTACAGAGTGCTGTATGATGCGCTTTGGTCCAACATGTCTGAACCGTGGCCGCTCTGAAGGTAATCAGCATCAGCATTCCGCAGGACAACGGGACATTTGTTAGTGCAGTCTGCCCGCTTGATTGACGGCGGCAGCTGGTGATCTCTACTCCTTCTGAGCCATTATGCGCACTTGATACTCTGGCTCTCTGGGCTCTGCGCACTTGATACTCTGGCTCTCTGGGCTCTGCGCACTTGATACTCTGGCTCTTTGGGCTCTGCGCACTTGATACTCTGGCTCTCTGGGCTCTGCGCACTTCATACTCTGGCTCTCTGGGCTCTGCGCACTTGATACTCTGGCTCTCTGGGGGGCTCTCTGGGCTCTTCTTATCAAAACTAACTACCAGACGCGCGGGCCGCCCAAGAGCTGCAAATCAGATGTCAACGGGAGCGAGGGGGCCTGTAGCCTGCACGCACAGTACACGTCTTGGCGCAATCTCACCAAGGGGCACGGACAGTTACATACAGGCAGATGATGTCTCCAGAGGCCAAACGGAGTTGGGAACAGCGCAGTCCCAAGGGGGTCAAAATGCGTCAAAATGCGTCAAAATGCGTCAAAATGCGTCAAAATGCGTCAAAAGGCGTCAAAAGGCGTCAAAAGGCTCAAAAGGCTCAAAAGGCTCAAAAGGCGTCAAAAGGCGTCAAAAGGAGTCAACTATTGTGTCCTGCACTGTTGTTTTGACGACTAGAGTCTACGACTACTGTAGAGTACTACGACTAATTCCAGTAATATAATACTGTGGTACTATAATAGACATGGGCCATGGGCTGATTCTCCATCGCGCCCAGGTTTCTTCAGTGTCCCATGTGTGTGCACGTGAATGCGCACGAACGGCTCCTCCCTCTCATCGATGATGACCATCACAGATACAAAATGAAAACGTGAATAGCGTCCATATGTCCCAGAAGGGGGTCCCATTGGTAAGCTACCTTGCATACAGACCCGGTACTGTATGTGTATGTATATATGTATGTACGCACGCAGAGCCAGCGGCACGGAGAATTTAGAGCTGTTGCATTCAATTGGGACGATTCTCGCATCGGCCCCGAAGAGATGCTGATGCAGACGCACCGTACTCTCGTTGCAACAAATTCAATATTCTTCCGTGCCGCATATGTGCCCCACTACTAACTACTGATCGGAGACATTGATTGATCCACATCTCACCAAACTGTCTCCTCCGCACTTAACCCTGGCGTCTCACCGTCCAGATCGGTATGCTGAGGGTATGGGGCATAAGTCATAAAATAGTCGCGCGGCAACAGTGCAGAATCCAAATGCACGATTTGTACAGCGCCTTTCTGTCTCAGACCGTTCCTGTCCTCTCATCCTACCACGCCGAAATGGTAAAATCCACATAAACTGGCCTTATTAGTGCTTTCTTCGTCCCTCACGGGGTTGTTACATTTGCCACCCAGAACCAGCCGAGGCCTTGCCCCTTTATCCAGTATATACATAGTTGGAAGTGACCAGTGAGGCTGTCGTGCTCATGGCCACAGATCCTTTAAATGGCTTGGACGCCAAGTCCATGCCAAAGATTGAAGTATGGCCCGTATATTAGAGCTCAGCCCCCGCAACCTATTATCACGGTTGTGTCCAGCAACAAAGCTTTGGTGTCCATAACTAACAACCGGTTCAGCTACACGCCCATCTAAGTGGCAGTATCAGCCCAACTTGCCTTCACGAAATATGGCTATCCAAAAAGCAACGTGATGCAGACGGAGCCTCAGGCCTCTCTGACCCTCTCCAGGTGCTACACCCGAGCAAAGCAATTGGCTTGGTAACGTAAGTTTAGAATATTTATTATCATTGTCATAAATGCGATTCCGCTGCCGTGTTTCATTTTGCTCATTGTCTGAGCAGCTTCTTTCCTCTGTTCTCGAAGTATATCTACGAGCTATGCAACGATGCCGAGAGCATATCATATTCCACCAAATCTGTCCTTCAAGACTTTCAGGATGATGGTGTGATCTACCTTGAGCTGCGAACGACGCCACGTCTCATCAAGCAAGCGGGAATTACCAAAGAAGCTTATGTTCAACTCGTACTGTCAACCATTTCAAGCTTCGAATCGCCTACGATGGTTACCAAACTAATATTATCCATTGACCGCCGGAACTCCGAAGAAGAAGCATTTGAGGTCGTTGACCTAGCCCTCCGGTATAGAGACCAAGGAGTCGTCGGCGTTGATCTCTGCGGGGATCCCGCAAAGGGCAATGTCGACACATTCAGGTCTGCTTTTGCGAAGGCCAAAGAAGAGGGCCTTAAGACCACTATCCACTTCGCAGAAGCTCCCCAATCTTCCAATGAACATGAGTTACTCACTTTGCTTTCCTTCGGACCGGATCGCATCGGGCATGTTATCCACGTTCCAGATGCTATCAAAGAGGTCGTCATTAAACGGAAACTGGGCCTAGAGCTCTGCTTGAGCTGCAATGTCAAGTTTGGGATGACATCGGGGAGCTTCGCGGATCACCATTTTCTGTATTGGAAAGGCACAGGGTGCCCAATAACACTTTGCGTAAGAGAATCACTGGGGTTTATTATGAACAAAAGCTGACCTGATACACAGACTGATGATGTTGGAGTTGTTGGCAGTGCTTTGTCGAATGAATATGCTCTGATTGCTGAGCACTTTGGTTTGCAGCCCAAGGAGGTCTATGAGTTTGCTCGGAGTGGGATCGAGACGATATTTGGTGGTGATGATGAAAAGGAGAGGCTGCGAAAACTGATGTGGCATTAATGCTCAGTCGCTTCCAGGCATGTGGTTTATTCCCAGCGAATGTCAGTACCTTAGTTCTTATTTTCTTAGAATATGTGCGCGTCCTGGCTCAAAAAGTGAGGGGTAGTGAGACCAGGCAGAATGTACCAGTCACGACTTTCACGGAATAACAACTTATCATAGGCAATATTGAAGAGTTTTTTGTGATTAATGAAAAAAAAAAGTTATATTGTCCAGGATATATTATTATTTGACTAGCTTCTGAGACGTCCACGACAGGCAGGCCGACATTTGACGTTGGGTTCACGGGTTGGTCAAGGGTGCCATCACTCCATAATCAGGGGTAGCCTCTCAGACACAATTTTGCCCACGAAATGACTAGCGGCGCACAAGCGAGTTATCTAAAGAAATTCAGTGCTGACAAACACCGTCAACCCCACCATCCAGTCGGTATAACCTTTGTTTGCGACCAACTGCTCTACCCCAACACAAAAACAACTATCTGAAATAGCTATTACATACAAATTTCATCATGTCTACTGCTGAAGAAAAGGTCGACATTGCCCCAGAGGCTGTTGTCTCCTCTGAGGAGAAGAAGACCGTCGAGCCAACCACTGAGGCGACCACCACCGAGGAGGCAAAGGGCGAGACCCCTACAGTGGCACCTACTGTAAGTAACTCCGAAACCCTTTCCAACTTCATAGATTCACGTTGGGCGCATGCTGATTTTATCAGTCTGTAGTAGAGAGCGCCACCGATGCTGCCGCCACAGCCGCTTCGACCGTGACCGCCGCCGCCACCAACATGCAGGACAGCGTCTTCTCCATGTTCGGCGGAGGAGCCAAGAAGGAGAAGGTCGAGGATGAGGACCGTGGTGACAACTCTGGCTCTGCCAAGGCACAGAAGGCCGCCGCCGCCGCCGCCGGGGAGAACCCAGAGGTAAGAAACTCACCTACCCCGCACCAGTGGCACGAGCTTACCGAATTTCACCAGGACGAGGCACCAGAGTCTGAGGACGTCCACTTCGAGCCCGTCATCCATCTCACCGACAAAGTCGAGGTCAAGACCGGCGAGGAGGTTGAGGAGCAGACTTTCAAGATGCGCGCGAAGCTCTTCAAGTTCATCCGCGAGTCCAACGAGTGGAAGGAGCGTGGTACCGGTGATGTGAGGCTCCTCAAGCACAGGGAGAACAACAAGACACGTCTGGTTATGCGCAGAGATAAGACCCTCAAGGTTTGCGCGAACCACTACGGTATGTGGAAACGATAACGCCGATTTGGATGCAGTACTGATACACCGCTAGTTGTGCCTGAGATGAAGCTCTCGCCAAACGTTGGCAGCGACAGGAGCTGGGTGTGGAACGCCGCTGCTGATGTCAGCGAGGGAGAGGCCGAGGCCGTTACTTTCGCCATCCGTTTCGCCAACTCCGAGAGTAAGAAACATCCCAACCACAACGTGTTGAATCGAATCAGGGGCTAACAATATATCGCAGACGCCAACCTATTCAAGGAGGCTTTCATCAAGGCCCAGCAAGAGAACGAGGCCCTGTTCAACAAGCCTGCCGCTGCTGCTGAGGCTTCCACCGAGGCTTCTGCTTGAACTTAGCCTGCTTTCCTAAACTGTGGAGTCATTCGAATCTCAACAAAGAACTTTCACATTGCAATTACGAACCTCATGAAACTCTTGAACTCTATATTCCCCGTCACCACCCCCCAGCTTGCATATACCTCTGATGCAAGCAGTTACCCGTAGTACGTGTCCATACATATGGTGGCACTCAGATTGGCCTGGACTTTGAAGCGGTCGAAGCGGTCCAACTGATATGTCAGCTGGGAGGATATTGGAACGCAATGCATGAAGGTTAATCAGCCATAGGTTATTATCCAATGGTTTAGATACTTAAGTTAGATTACGATGCTTTATTCTCCTCCAGTCATTTGGCACAGATATATAATTCTCAAGATTTTACGAACATCCAACGAACAAAACTGTTCTGTGATATAACATGTGATTGCGATTGCTGGCATTTCTCTAGTGGATGGGGATGGTGCGTGATGTTTTTTTATTGTTTGGGTTTTGGGTGGAATTAATATGAATTTGTAGGAATGTTTAATGGGAATATTTATACCATCTCACTGGATATATATCGCTACGGGTTGTGTCAAACCCAGATCCTCGTCAAAGAGCTTCCGTACATATTAGAGCTACAACATCACTCTTCAAAGTGAAATTGTTCTTAAATTCATATATGGCACCTTGATTTCTTTGCTTCGTTAAGTGGAATCATAACGAGTTCAACACGTGACAAACGCGGTCACACGAAACACAAACTCGGTTAATTAAGGTTACCACCATTGAGCTCCCCGCGTCCACCGATATCACTGCCCATTCCGGCGTGAGCTCCAAAATCGCAACAGTCCATTCAGCATTCACCAGCATATATTTGCCTCGCACGAACTGCCATCTATTTGGTCGCATTATCACAACCAAGTCGTTATAATGGTTGAAGTAAGTTCTTGTGAACCGGTTCTGCATTTATCACCTACAATCGCTGATTCATGTAGGTCAAACGTACGGTGAAGGTGGTGACAGAGCAGTCAACAATCCCGTGAGTGAACGCGCATTCATGCTCATACCCGGCGGAAGATATATTTGCTGATTGTCTGCGATACAGTGGCCGAGCACCGGAAGTTGAGGGCTTCCCAATGAAGCTATGGAGTATTGAGATCTTCCTTTTGGACGAGGCCGGCAACCAGATTGAGGCGAACATCTTCTCAAAGGCAACCTACAATTTACATGCGTCGTTTGCGAATCCCACTCAAAGTATGACCCCTATATGAAATCTGCAGAGATAGGAGCTAATCTATATCCCACAGCTTTCGAAAAGCCACCGTTTCGCTGCCAGAATGAGGGCTGGGGAGAGTTTGATTTGACTATCGACCTCCACGCAGTCGAGAAGGGCGGAAAGCACACAATCGCGCACGACCTCAACTTTGCGCAGCCCCGATACGAGGCCAAGCATGTGATCAACTTCAAGAACCCGAACCCCAACCTCCTTGACGTGCTGCGCAAGTCGGGTCCCGTGCCAGACGACGCGAACGGCGCGCGCAAGAAGGGTGGTGACGCCGACGCGAGAAAGAAGAAGAAGACAGGGCAGGTGGACATGGACAGGCTTGCCGATGGGCTTGTGAAGTTGCAGGAGGATGATCTACTCCAAGTGGTACAGATGATCCATGACAACAAGTCCGACGAGACATACACGAAAAACGACGTTGACCGTAAGTCGCCACCTCGGCCCATACTTTCTGTCAAACCCCAAACCCCCGGACCTGAGAATACTGTCCATCCCAACCCCCCCCTGGATCACACTCCGTTACTATCCCAAACCCCCTCCACGCCTCTGGCGGCCCAAGTATCCAGTCACTGATGATACTGTAGAAGGCGAATTCCACGTCGACCTTTACACGCTTCCGGACGCCCTCGTGCGAATGCTCTGGGATTTCGTGCAATCGAAGGCATGAGCGCCCTACCGTGCTGGTATCTGATGATCCAATGGAGAGCTGCAGCAAACTCGGACATATACATCTAATTCAGCAAGATTCCCAATTACCTTTTTAAAAACCTACAGCACATTCTGCACAATACTTACCCCGCAGTCTCAATTCCCTCTACATTATCCATCCAGATTATCACACGGCGTTGGCAGGAAATATGGAAATCCCGGTGGTGGACCAGCAAACAGCAAGGCGATTATACGATTTTCTTTGTTTCTTCTTTCTTCTTTCATCTTGAAATGAGCTCGATTCGACTTGGGTCCTCCTCCTTCCATCCACAAGAATCACTCGCCAAAGTTATATGAGCATTTTTTATGCCTGGGCGAGGTAGGGCGGCGGGGCGGCCTTCCGTGTTTTGCTTCGTTTTGATGCCGTCGATTGAGGCTAGATTCGGTGGCTGGGGCCTGGTCTTTAGGGGCGCATTTGGAAGGGGTTAGGAATTGGTGGGATATAGCTTCGCATAACACACATCTTCAATGGCAAACCTTATTGTTGTGAACGCTATGGAGCGTGAGAAGCCCGTCTAGTGTCTTACCTGACAGCACAATTGCTGTGCCTCTGATGCAGCAAACCTTTCTCATAAATGGGACCGCCTAGTATGGACGCCATATCCAGGCGTTGGCAGCTTCCATGGCATGAAATAAATGCTCTTTGTATATTCAATGGGTATCTCGACACTCCTGAACGCCACCCGCAACAATCCCAGTCCCGTAGTCTATGCGCAGTATTCTAAACCACCCAATGCATCACCCCCTTGCCTTCAAGTGAACTCCAAGCATAGCGTAGGTCGTGGTGTAACGTAAGTCGTGGCGTAACGCGGGGGATGGCGTAACGCGGTGGAATTTCGAAGAGAACATAACAAATCTATGAAATTTAAACTACAATCAACGATAATATATGATCCACCGTCGCTCTCAGATTGTTCCCCTGCTTCTTCCTCAATATAATCGTCAATTTAAATGTCTGAGGAGGCGTGCTTATCCTTTGTTTTGGCTTTTTCTTACTTGGGTTATGTGTCGCCTTTTCCGCCTCCATTACCGCATCACACAATTCTTGCGTAGAAACATGAAAGTGATCCTTCAGAATAACCCTTTTCCCTTTCGTACGTACCTTACGTCGCTTTATAACTGATCGCAGGTTGTTGGCATCGAGTTGGTGGACAATGCTACGTGCTCGAAGTTGCTCTGACGCAACTGTGAGTTTTTGGATGTACGTCTGCACTGGTGTTGACAGCACCCCACCACCATTAATCGTAGTTGTAAGGAGCGCATTTGCAGAGCGTAAGGTCATCCCATCTGGGGGGGAGCTGTTGATAAAGACTCGGTCAAAAATATCATACTGATGTGGTGGTTTTGGTCTCAGCCTCGACTGATGGTTCATCATTGAGCAGCGTACGCAATGCTCGCTGGGGATTAAAAGGAAACAAGCCAGCGCCATGGTATGCTGACTCATCTGATGGTTACATATATCAAGCCGTGCCTGGATGTATGCCTCCATCCATTCATACTTCTGTATGCACGCAAGTTGCGCTTGGTTGAGTGAGGAGAGCGCTGCTGTTAGACGCTTTTTTAGCAGGCCGAATTTCTCAGCGTGATATGCACTCTTATACTTCTTAGATTGGACGTCTAATACTGCCTGAGCTATTAAAGTTTCACGCTCAGCAACACCCAGGCTTTTACAGCAAACCATCGTTGAGTTATTTACAGTTATTAGAAGTCAGCGGGGTAAATTCACTACGTTACGCCATCCCCCGCATTACGCCACGACTTACGTTAATGGGTATAATGGCATAATGGGTATAGTGGGGTTGGGGCCACCCCATCAACAGCTTCAAAAAAATCGCAATAATTCAATTATTACTATGCTAATTCATCTATATCATCATCAGAAAGCTTCACTCTCACTATTAATTAAGTTACTTATTGATGTAGGTTGTGGCGTTTTTAAGATTTTTGACCTCTATGTCATACTGACATTCGTTGCACTCAGTTTGCTATCAAACTCAAGAGCAAACTTAGAAATCTCCTCCTCAAACCTACAAGTCACCATACATATCTTGGCTTATCACACCAACAACAGAAGCAATACTACTCAACGATTGCTGCCAACTCTTCTACTACATCTGTTTATGCTACATACATCACGGCATATCATTTGGACACTCATTGAACAAGTTATTAAGAAAATCTCCTCCTTAAGGGGGTGGGCCAATACTACCACATGGCATATCTCTACCAACTAGAGGCCTAGGAACATGAACGATAGCTCTAGAAGCTTCTACAACCCTCTATGATTCATTACACGTCATCGCTCCTTAGTTACCCACAAGATTGGTTAAGTTATGACATAATTTGTCTATAGGGGTACTCTGACCTTGGATCTCCTTTTACTTCCTATAGGCTACGAACCTAAGAGATGGTTCTATGGGATTCTCTTACGTCGACTACAGTTACCAAGCCTGGTAAGTCATGGAAAGTCTTGGAAAATGAGAGAACTACATTCCTTTAGCATAAATAGGATTGCCCTTTCCTTAAGAAAGGGCAAGCAGACAATACAGTAAATCGACTATCACATACTTCCACATCTTTTCCAAGCTTCCAAGCATTCATCTTGTTACTCCTTGTTTCTGAAAAGTCAGTGAGGTGTTAATCTCTGACTTACCCCTGAGTTCCCAGACTCAACATTTGTTGCAACTTTGTCTGAACCACTTCACTACATCACACACCTGATTGCTGCATTGTGGAATAGTCTAAGCTACAACCCTTTGGCTCTGTTTCCTAAGACAGTGTGTTGTCTTAGTAAAATCATCCCTTCCTTGGGTGGCTAGATTCTCACATCTGGTGCACCCACCATTACAATTCTTTGTGCCTCTACCCTCCTTCCTAACTTAACTCTTAAGTTAGGATGCCTTTGAATAAATTGTGGAACCTAGGCAAGACTAGATTCCACGATTTAGTTTTGGTATTTGAGGTTGTTGAGTTTAGGTTGTTGAGTTTAGGTTGTTAAGTTTAGGTTGTTGAGTTTAGGTTGTTGAGTTTAGGTTGTTGAGTTTAGGTTGTTGAGTTTAGGTTGTTGAGTTTAGGTTGTTGAGTTCGAGGTTGTGTGCTATTGCTCTGTATACTACGACTTTGGTAAATGCGACACCTATTTGTACGCACTTCATCAGCTACCTGTAATGGTGGGTGCACCAGATATGAGAATCTAGCCACCCAAGGAAGGGATGAATTTACTAAGACAACACACTGTCTTAGGAAACAGAGCCAAAGGGTTGTAGCTTAGACTATTCCACAACGCAGCAATCAGGTGTATGATGTGGTGAAGTGGTTTAGACAAGTTGCAACAAATGTTGAGTCTGAGAACTCAGGGGTAAGTCAGAGGTTAGCACCTCACTGACTTTTCAAAAACAGAGAATAACAAGATCAATGCTTGGAAGCTTGGAAAAGACGTAGAAGTATGTGCTAGTCGATTTACTGTATTGCCTGCTTGCCCTTTCTTAAGGAAAGGGCAATCCTATTTATGCCAAAGGAGTGTAGTTCTCTCATTTTCCATGACTTTCCATGACTAACCAGGCTTGGTAAATGTATTAGAAATCAAGTGCGACCCACAACTAGCTTGCTAATCATGTAGTGAACGTAAGAGAATCCCATAGAACCATCTCTTGGGTTCCTAGCCTATAGGAAGTGAAAAGGAGGTCCAAGGTCAGAGTACCTATAGATAAATTATGTCATAACTTAACCAATCTTGTGGGTAACTAAGGAGCGATGACGTGTAATGAATCATAGAGGGTTGTAGAAGCTTCTAGAGCTATCGTTCATGTTCCTAGGCCTCTAGTTGGTAGATATATGCCATGTGGTAGTATTGGCCCACCCCCTTAAGGAGGAGATTTTCTTAATAACTTGTTCAATGAGTGTTCAAATGATATGCCGTGATGTATGTAGCATAAACAGATGTAGTAGAAGAGTTTGCAGCAATCGTTGAGTAGTATTGCTTCTGTTGTTGGTGTGATAAGCCAAGATATGTATGGTGACTTGTAGGTTTGAGGAGGAGATTTCTAAGTTTGCTCTTGAGTTTGATAGCAAACTGAGTGCAACGAATGTCAGTATGACATGATCCCCCTTTTAAGGACGTTTGTGGGCTGTCTGCTTGCCCTTTAGCCAGGTGGCTTTCTTAGAAAGAAATTCTAGAATGAGCTTAGATGCATTTTTTAGATTTCTCTTAGGCTCCCAAGTGTTGTCACTTGTAGGATAGCCTTTCCACTTAACGAGGAAGTAGTCCTGACCTCTAAGTGTCTTTTTGTCAAGGATAGACTCTACTTCATATTCTGGTTGATCCAAGATCAGAACAGGAGGTGGAGGAGACTGAAGTGGTCTTAAGGAACTTTCTTGTGCCTTAGACAAGAGAGATGCATGGAAGACATTATGGATAGTCCAAGTAGGTGGTAATGCAAGCTCGAAAGCATTCTTGCCAATAGTCCTTGTGATCTTAAAAGGTCCAAGTCTTTTAGTATCAAGTTTGTCTGAAGGTCTAGTAGTTGTGATATGTCTTCTAGACAAAAAGACTTGATCACCAACTTTGAATTGTGGTGCAACCACCCCCCTGTTAAAGGCCTGAGCCTGCTCGTCTTGTGCACGCTGTATTTGAACCTTGAGATAGTCCTGGAGGCCCTTAAGGTAGATGATTCTTTCAGTAGCAGAAGGGTTTTTGAAATTTTCAGGACAATTCAGTTCTGCCACTTCAAACCTAGGGTGATAACCATAGTTTGCATAGAAAGGTGTCTCTTTTGTGGTGTTAGAGACTGTGTTGTTGTAAGCAAATTCTGCAAGATGGAGAAGATCTGCCCAGTTGTCTTGAGCATAGTTTGTATAAATTCTTAGATATTGTTCAAGTACAGAGTTGACTCTCTCTGTCTGGCCATCTGTTTGAGGGTGATAAGCTGTAGAGAAGCGTTGTTCCATGTTTAAGAGTTTAGAGAACTCCTTAAAAAAGTTTGAAGTGAAAACTGCTCCCCTATCTGAGATCCAGTGTCCAGGAATTCCATGATATTTAAAGACCACCTTGAGGAATAGCCACGCAAGTTCAGAAGCTGTGATAGTCTCATTGCAAGGCTCAAAGTGTGCCATTTTTGTGAGCCTTTCTACCACCACAAGGATAGAGTCATAAGGGGTAGCACCCCCTTTTGGGATAGAAGGAGGCAACTTGACTATAAAGTCAATGGATATGGAGTCCCATGGGCGTTCTGGTATAGGTAGAGGCTGCAAGAGGCCATAGGGCTTTTGCCGTGTAGGCTTGTTCAAGTTGCAAGTAGTGCAAGAAGATATATAGTCTTGAAGAGTAGTCCTTAGACTAGGCCAGTAGAACTTTCTTGTTAGAAGTTCATAAGTTTTTGCAAAGCCAAAGTGCCCTGCAGCTGGAGCATCATGGAACTGCTGTAGGAGGTGTAGCTGTAATCGTTTATCCCTTGGGACATAGATATAGTTCTTGAATAAGAGAAGTCCATGCTGATTTTTTGAGAAATTCTGTAGTCCAACTTTCTCAAGAGAGGAACCTTTCTTCTGGAGGTATTCCAAAGTTCTTTTCGCAAAGGGATCATGGTTGTAAGCATCTTTGAATGCTTTAAGAAGTGTTGCTGAGGGTGTATAGTCTTTAAAGGTCTCTGGTTCCTGAGAAGAGGTAATGGGGGCAACTTGGTCTTGAGGGGATAAGTTTACCCCTAAGTCCTCTGTAGTACTAGGGTTGCTTAAAGATGCTGCTATAAGCTTTGCTGAGTCTAGCAGAGCCTTTGTATTGCTAGTTTTAGCAGAATCTTGGTAGTCATGTCTTCTTGAGAGGAGATCTGCTCTTTGATTCTTGGCCCCTGAGACATGTTTTATAACAAAGTCAAAACCTCCTAGTTGTTCAGACCACCTTGCTTGTCGTCTATTGAGCTGTTTAGTGGTTGTAAAGGTCAAGAGGTTTGAATGGTCACTGTAAATAGTGATAGGATAGTTTGCCCCTTCAAGGTAGCATCTCCAATGCTTTAGAGAACATACTATGGCAAGCAGTTCCTTGTCTGTAATGGGATAGTTTTGTTCAGCTGCTGATAGCTTTCTTGAGTAAAATGCCACAGGCTGTAGCTCTTCTTGTTTGTCTTTTGGAGCTTGGTATAAGATTCCAGAAATGGCAAAATCTGAGGCATCTGTCTCAAGAGTGGCAGGTTTCAAGGGGTTAAAGTGTAGTAACATTTTCCCTTCTTTAAATTCTCCTTTAAGAGCATCGAAAGCATCTTGCTGTGTCTTATCCCAGTGATACAAAGTGTCCTTGTGAAGTAATTGAGTAAGGGGTAAAGCCAAGGATGTATATCTTGGTATAAACCTCCTGTAATAGTTGGCAAACCCAAGGAAAGACTGAACCTCTTTAATGCTGGAAGGAATAGGCCACGTTTGTACTGCTTTTGTCTTTTCAGGGTCCATCTGAATGCCTTCTGTTGAAATTCTATGTCCCAAGAAATCAACTTGAGACATATGGAAAAGACATTTCTCAAGTTTGCAAAAGAGTTGTGCTTGAGATAGCTTCTCTAAGACTTGTCTAACATGTAGAACATGCTCTTGAGTGTCTAAAGAGTATATAAGAATGTCGTCTAAGTAGACAACAACAAAGATATCCAAGTAAGGTCTTAGAATATCATTCATGAGAGCTTGGAAAGAAGCAGG